GTTTAAACTGTAGCTGGCTTCTCCAGGGGGGGAAAGAAATCCCTCTTAACTCTTCAAGGTAAAATAACTGGGTAATTAGGAGCTGGGCCTGGGGAAGGGAGAGGAAGCACCCCTCTCAGGGGACAAGAGGACCACTGGCCCAGGCGCAGGGGGGACGGGCCAGTGACCGTCCCCAGCACGAGAGCCACCAGGATCCAGCGCAGTTTCCTCAGAGGTGCTCCTGCTGTCTGGGGGGACATGGAACACATCCCAACATTAAATTAAATTAAATGTCACTGTTGCCGCTACGGCATCCTTGACAAAAACCTGTCCCTACAACCTGATGGCGAGAAAACGCCAGACCAACCCGAACTGAGGACCATCTATAAAACCCTGCCTCTCCTCGAGGGTGTCATGCTCATAAAAATTGAGGGAAGACAGGACTGTCACAGACCAGAGGCCATGCAGGCACGGCCCTGGATGCCACATGCGGGACTGAGTGAGAAGCAGGACAGTGGCACGTGGTGAAAAAACCCACCAGCAGAGACCCGGGGCCTTTGGTCAGTGGTGCTGACGCTACCGTGGTGGTTCTGATCGCTGTGCTGTGGTCACACGGAACCTAATCACAGGGGAGGCTGGGTGGGGGCCTTTGTGAGCTACAGTATTAATGACTCTTCAGTAAGGCCAGTGACCGCAAGACAGAAAGTTACAATAAAAAGGTAAATGTTATCACAGCTTATTGCTGTATTAACTCGCCTTACGGTGACCAAAAAGAGAAAGGGGAGCTGGGAATCTCCTTTTCTAGCAGGAAGGGAGATGCGCAGAACCGTCTGAGTGTCAGCCCAGCCACCGAGGGGGACAAGACGGACCCTGGGAGGTCCCAGCTGGCTGACCCAGTGCCCCAGGAGTGACTTTATGGTCCTTCTTCATTGAATTACTTTTGGAGGTGATTTCTCTCAATTTGAGCATCCTAGCTTAAAATTACAGGCATGAACAATACCTACAAATTAAGTCTTTCCTCCTGAGAATGCATTTCAAGGAGGAGAGTTGGGGACTTCTGCTGATTTGAAGTATTTCCCATAGATAGGTTCAGGCTGCACTGCGATCAGAAGGAGCTGACTCCCTCCAGGCCCAGATCTGCCGCACACAGGAAGCCCCAGGAGCAGACAGGGAAGCCCTGCCCAGGGGGGAGAGCCCAGGCCTCCCCGGTGCCCTCTGGAAGGGCCAGGCCCCGGAGCGAACCTGGCCACCCGGCGAGCCCCGGGAGTGGGCGCAGGGCAGAGTATGCCTCCACCTTGTTAACCTGGCATCCGGAGCTCCGGTGGCTTGGTCCCCTGCTTAAGACCTCGGGCAAGTCATTTAGAGCCTCTGGGCCTGTCTGCTCCTTGTAAACAGGAATCTAGCGGACGACACACTTCCTCTGTTATCCTCTGGCTCCTCTGGAGGACAGGGTGGTGCTAACACAACCCCAGGGAAACCACGGATCCTGGAAGGCTCCTCCCGTGCCAGGATCCCTGTCAAGGGTTCTCAGTTTCTGGGGAAACGGAGCTCTGGACAGGCTCAAGGACCATGGACAGCACGAGTCCAGCCAGGCCCTTAACCGCGGAGCCCACTGCCTGCCAAGGGGTCAGGCTGCTCCAGGTCTGGATGAAGGATGGATGCAACTGACTGTGGCCCTGACACGGCCGCCTCTGAGAGCCCATGCAACTGACTGTGGCCCTGACATGGCCGCCTCTGAGAGGTCCTGGGCCCTGGCTGTGGTGGGATGCTTCGCTCTGAGGGGTGGATATCATTGTGGACATGCAGAGACCTTGGGTGGCCTGCTCAGGGCTACGCAGACGCAAGGTGAGGAAACGGGGACCTAACCTCAACTTCTGTTTCTGAACCATGTTCTTTCCACTCCATCGACATGAGGGGACAAGTGTGATTTAAGACCCCCGATGAGAATCAAACAGCTCCAAACATGGGGGCCTGCGGTGTGAGGCCCACAGGCGAGGTCCTCCTGCAGCTCCTCCTGGGCGGCCCTGGTCACCAGCAGGGCCCCACTTTCCATCCTGAGTCTAGACAAGGACGCCTGGTACCCAACCTCGTCCTGCCTCATTAGATTTCTCTGCTGCCAAAATGCCTTACCCCTCCCCTCGCCCCACAGACAACTTCTGCCACAAATGAACGCTTTCTTCTCATGGAGCGCAGCGTCAGCCCTGCCTCGCTGAACTTCAGCTAGAGAGTGACATGCCTACACGCGTCTCCCCTAACCCGGCCATCTTACCAAAGCAGGCAGCACGTTATGTGACATCCGTGGCCCCCTAGCCCGGGCAGCCCCTGCTCTCCTCCAAGTCCTCACAGCCGTCTGCTCGACAACTCAACCTGGAACTCGGCCAGGAAGCAACCACACACTCACTGACTTGTACCAAGGACAGCCCTCCTCTCTTTTGAAAGTTAAGACACTGCTGGACAACCATTTCACTTCATCTTCTGCACCCACGTGACAGACATCATAAGACTAGTTCCATCACACAAACCTGTTTTGACGACCTGAAAGAGTATCTTACAAAAGAAGGAAACGCTACATAGCTATACGGCCATCTGGATCTCAGCACACACCTGTGGGTAACTGTTCAGAGCTGGTACCTTTTCTTGGGCACTACTAATCAGAACTATTGAAATACACACGTATGTACTTGCACACACAGCACACGTATCCACGTACCACATACATGCACACGGTGTATGTGTGCTGCTCTGCACATATTACACGCATCCGATAATAACGACATTAGCAGTTCTAACAGACGCCAGGATTGGGGAAGGGCAGGGGAGGTGGGCAGGGAGGAGAGGGGCGCATGCATCCCCAGGGCATTTCCTTTGTAACATCTTCCTCAACACTGGACCCTCAAACAGCCATAAAAATTATTGAGGGCAGACTGGATGCTAGGCAATTGTCCTCTTTTGCATCCGTTATTTTTCTCAA